GCCGCCTCGCCGCGCCGCCGCCTAGGGTTTGGAAATGGGGAGCGGCGCGAGGGGAGCCGAGCCAGGGAGGGATGGGTCACGGAGAGAGAGCAAGAGGGGGCCGTCTAGAAGGGTGGTGGATAAGTGGGTCAACTGATGTCTGATGGGTCATGACGGAATGGGTCGGGTTGGTGGAGGCGTCGCAAGAGGCCGGTTGGGCTGTGTTTGGATTGAAGAATTGAGGATTTAGGTGCACTAATATGTGTACATGTGTATATACTAGAAGTATACTTGTTTTGTGATAAAAAAAGTTGGGTATTCCTGGGAATACCCAGGAATAATGGTAGCTCCGCCCCTGCCTCCTTTATGCAGCTGAAGTGATGCTTCTTATACCCAGGTTATGTTCAGAACACAGCCATATGTGCAGTTTAGTCGACTTGCTTTCCACCTCTCTATATGGAAACATGCATATCTATGTGTTAGGATTAATTCCACTGCTTGTGCAATCCAGTTCAAACACTGAAGGTTTATTCTACTTATCTTTTGCACCTTAATTTCACTCATGAGCAAACTGTCTTGGTCTCTGCAGCTGCATGGGAGGTGAAACGCAGGAATTCGGCAAGAATGACATGCTGCAATTTCGTGGTCTCTTCAAGCACGTGTACTAATTATCCTTACATTCTGTTGCTAAACTACTGATATCTTCATACTAGAAATATGAAATTATTTTGTTTGTCACATCAAGGCTTCGTAGCAGCCAACTGCATGTACTATTTCTTTTGAACTAAAATAGAGTGATAGAAGCCCAATGAGGTACTACTGAACTGCTAGCAGCATCTATCTTATTCTCCTTATAGCTCAAAATGTATTGCATAGTTATCAGTCAAATGAAACATGACTCCACTATCTAACTTATTGTTCTATTTCTACCAGATTATGTAGTTCTGCAACATTCAGCGACTGTAATGGCATATATTTTTTTTATGGCATCTCAGATTTATGTCCCGGGTTTTTCTGCGCACAATATTTTTCCCTTTTTGGTAATTTACATAACTACTCCCTCCTTCCCTAAATGTTTGACACCGTTGACTTTTTTAAACATGTTTGACCGTTCGTTTTATTCAAAAACTTTTGTAATATGTGTAAAACTATATGTATACATAAAAGTATATTTAACAATAAATCAAATGATAGAAAAAGAATTAACAATTACTTAAATTTTTTTAATAAGACGAACGGTCAAACATTTTTAAAAAAGTCAACGGCGTCAAACATTTTGGGATGGAGGTAGTATAATCTTTAGGTGTAAATTAGAACATATCATAGATACTAATATAATTTAGGTGTGAATTACTGATATTATAACATATATACTAATCTATAGGTATAAAGAGAAAAACTAAAATAGATACTAATCTTTACATATGAATTAACACTTGAACTGCTTTCAGAGGACCCAGCAAAGTGGCATGACATGGCTTGCATGTAACATAGCTGTACCTTGCAATATTCTTAGGTATTTTCTTTGGCTCTGTGTTGACTGGAAGTGAAACTGTAATGTTTGACATAATCAAGCACTGCTTTGAGGAACTACAGGAGAGATTAATACTTTCTTTGCTCCAATACCCACCATTATGAGTTTATTTTTGTTCTTTTCTTAAACTGCAGCGGTTCAGAAAGGAAATTTTAATGGTTAGGGCACCAACAATTGAAGCTGTAATTCCCTGTTCCAAGTTAATTCATGATTCTGGAGACCTTAAGTATCATGGAATGTAAGAGTTTTATCTTTGATTCTTTTCCATGTTACCTCTGTGCTTGATATTAGGCACTTTGATGCCCATTAAAAAAAATATATCCTTTCATATATATCTTGCCTTTTTGTCATGTAAAATGAGTTCCCTTCATATCATCTCTGGGACTTGTGAAGTCAGTTATACATATAAAATAAATTAATCAAGTTTAGCATGTTTGCCCATCTATGTGATGTTTGCACATTTGATTGGATAAGTGGTTGCAAATAAAATTGAATATAACATCTATGTCCATATATGGCTATGTTCGCACCCGCGGCAACGCGCGGGGTACCGTCTAGTTACAATGAAATCTACATATAAAAAATAAGATTTAGTTTATTTCTAGTCTAGTTTTTTTATGATGTATTGGATTTTTTACATTTCTTTAGAGATAATATTTTATAACACTTAGATAATTTATTGTTTTATAAATAGATTAGTTTATCGTGCCCCTATTTATAAAATCCTACATCCGCCACTGACTCATATATGTTAAACTTGATTTACACTATATAATATATCACAAATAGATATTTTTGAAGTGCAAAATCACTTTCTAATATGCACTTGTTTGTACTACCTACCCTACTGTGATGAATATAGGAGTATAGGGCTACGTTGTAAGCACTGCCCATGCACTGGACCAGCGGTGTGTCGGTGTGGACAGCGTGGGGTCAGCGCTTTCTGATATGCACCTTGTTTGTACTACCTACCCTACTGTGATTAATATAGGAGTATAGGGCTACGCTGTAAGCATTGCCCATGCACTGGACCGGCGGTGTGTGGGTATGGACAGCATGGGGTCAGCGCGGACGGAGGCGGTGGTGACGATGTCTTCCCGGATGTGGAGGTGGCGACAGCTGAGTGGAGGCGGGCAACGGATCGGGGATCTACAGTACCGGCGGCGGGATAACACGACGGCAGCGACGTGACAGTCGGCGGTGGAAGAGGGCAAGGGGTGGGAGGGGCGATTGACAGAGGGAGGATTGTGCAGCGGAGAGGAGGAGACCAGTGGTGAATCGGGGTGAGGGAGTCGATTGTGAGGAGGGCGACGGGATTTGGGGGCCGCGGGTTGTTACTGATGTAATAGCTAATTAAAGCAGGACTTTGATTCCTCCGAATGTTATTGTTTCCGAATGTTATTGTTGCATTGATTTAATTCTTTCCATAGCATCGTACGGGCAATTTGCTAGCATATAATAAAATTTGACTCGTTAAGTGCTATTCTACAAACACTTTTAATTCGCTAAATGACACTTTAATAAATTAAATCGACCATCGATTTTCAACCATTTAGACAGTAATATCTATTTTGTAAAAAAAAAACCGGAAACCCCATCCCGAACTTTCCTTGCATTACTTCATCTGTTTTATTATCTTCATGACAAATTAAAATTATTTTTATGGGCAAAAAACCCATAAATAGACCTCTATCTACTATGTCTAGCGGCTCTCCCTATGTCATTTTAAGAATGTTTTCTAACTCACTACGTGGTGATACTGAATTAGATAAAATACTAGAAAATCTAAGAAAAACAAAGTATTCGACTATCAGTTTCTTATTTTAGGTCGTTAGTTATTTCCTTTAATAAAAGAAAACAACCCAAACATCTCTCCCTCCCTCCGCCCGTGTATGATGTTAAAGTCCATTTAACATCTTATATATGCTTCTAAGCCACTACATAACATTATTAAATTAGAGAAGAATCTGGTAAGTTCTTAATAAAAACATCCACAAAATTGTGACTTAAATCGATGGACACATTATTTTAGGTTGGTATATCTATTTTTTTCCAAAAAAAAAATCCCAAACCTCCCCTCCCTCTACCCCCATGCAGTGCTAAAAGTCCATTAAACATCGTATGCTAAAAGTCCATTAAACATCGTATAAACGCTTCTAATCCGCTACATGATGTTCTTAATTATGGACAAAAACAAAACATCCAACAATCAGTTTTGACTCAAATTGATGGACACATTATTTTAAATCAATTGAGACATTATTTTAGGTCGTTAGATCTATTTTTTTTTAAAAAAAAAATCCTAAACCTCCTTCCCTCACTTCCTCCTCCGTGCAGCATGCGGTTTTAAAAGTTCATTATACATTCTATAAACGCTATGTTACGTTGTTCTCTTAAATCAGACGAAATCCTAAAAATGATGATAGGAAAACAAAACATATTATCATTGGTTTTAACTTAAACATCCAACCCATTATTTTAGGTCATTAGATTAATCATTCAGAAAAACATCCCAAACCTCCCTCCCTCCCTGATTGCCCGTGTGCAGCGTGCACAGTTCCTTTTCTCTTTCTTTTTTTTATCTCCCTGACAATTAAAATTAAAATTAAGGTAGATCCAAACAACAGGCTAATCTAGCACACAGTGTTTCTTTTTTGTTTTCTAAGAGAAGTCTAGCAGTACTATTTGATGGCATCAGAGATCTGTGATTCTTCAATCAAACTCTCAGAGCAAGTACATTCTTATGTTTCAAGGCTGAGAGACCCCAAGTTGGTAGCTTTAGCTTTTAGGCCCTGTTCTTTCATGATTCTGGATTCTAGGTTTTTGTTTGCATGCTTCCAAGCTCTTAGATGGTTTGTTTCGTGCAAAATTTTTATAATATAATTTTTATTGTAATACTTTTCTAAAGCATCTTTTCAACTTTGTTGTAGTTAATTTATTCGTTTATCCCTTAAATAGATATCATAAAAAAAATAGATTATCCATCAATCCAACGTGTTTAGCTATCTCAATCATGGCCTTAGCGCTAGCTAACAGTGCGGCTACAAGAATTCATATATAGTCGAGCAAATTTGCAACCTAGGAAGAGTTTGTACCAGTACATGCATTTCTGATTTCTGTATATACTATAAAAATACCCGTGCGTTGCAACGAAAAACTAAAATTATAACAAATATAAAAATATTAGATGATTAAGGTTTAGTTTTACATATTGAAATAAAAAAAGTTCAACTGAAGGGACCTAAAGTGAACTTATTCCGTGCGGAGTGTACATGCGGTCCATGAGGTGGCCCAATAGTGCGGGCGGCCTGGGAACAATTCGGGGACAACTTGAGCGACATAAAGTAAACTTATTTGTGCGGAGCGTACATGTGGCCCAATAGTGTGGGCGGCCTGGGAACGGCGCCCGGCCCGACGCGGGAGAAGCCGTAGCCATCCGATCTGATGGACGGTCCTGATTGATCCCGATCTATACAAATACTCAGCAGCCCAAACCCTAACCCTAAAACCATTTCCTCTTCCCCATCTCTCTCTCACTCAAAACAACGTCGGCGGCAGCGCCTCTCCCCAACCTTCCTCCCACCAGCGCCGCCGCTCCCCCTCCCCCTCCCTCCACCGGTGACCGGCGCCACCGCTCCATCTCCCCCTCTTCCTCCTGTCTCACCGGCACGGCGCGGCGACTGGGAGGGGACCCACCAGCAGCGCCGCTTCCCCTCGGCCACTCCCCCCTTCCTCCACCGGCGGCGCTCTCCTTCCGGCACGAATCCGGCGGCGGCGGCGGCTCCCTCAACCCCTTGTCACCTCCCTCCCGCGGTATATCCGGCGGCGGTGGCGGTGGCGGTGGCGGCGTCGGCGGGAGGAGGTGGATCCGGCAGTGGCGGCGGTGGCTCCCTCCGCCCCCTCTCGCCTCCCTCCTGCGGCAGATCTAGCGGCGGTGGCGGCCTCGCGGCGGCCATGGGTGGATCCAGTGGTGGTGGCGGCTGCGGAGGACAGATCCGGCGACAGCGGCGGCGGCTCCCTCTGCCCCCTCTCGCTTCCCTCCCTCGGCTGAAACGACGGTGGTGGCGGGCGTCGGCAGCGCAGCTCGGCAAGCCACTGCCGGCGGCCACTCCGCGCCCCTTCACCGGTTTTGGCCATGGGAGGCGGTGGCAGCAGAGGCGGCTATGGAAAAATCTGCTCGATTTCTGTTCGATTTGTTTTTTTTATCTCCGTTTGCTGTTCTTCTATTCTTATATTTGGGATCTAACATAAACTGGATTAAAACTTTGTGTGTTATTTGATGCGCACTCTGGATGATTTGTTGTTTGTTGGACTTATGATGTTGCGGACGAAATTTTTTTAATTAGGTTAGGTATATATTTGGGAGGGAGCTATCGGGGTGGGAATCGGACATAAAATTTGGGTGCTACGGATGCGATCGATCTGAGAAAAAATATTGGGAGCGATCTGGAGGCGGAGTAAAAAAAACCGTGCGCCATTGGGAAGTTGAAAAAAAGACCATGCGAAAAAAAACCCTAGCGCTATTTCCATTTGGGGGTGACTTATGAAATTTTTCGGCAAAAACACCTTGAATTTTTATCTATACTAATATAAAAAGAAGGAGTTCACCACTCCAATCCAGGAGTTCACCACTCCGATCCTATAGGCCAAATCAACTATACTCCATCCCCAGCGTCCCACGGCCCTCCCACGGTCCCACCTCCCACCATCGCCTTGCCCACACTGGGGATACCATGACTCGGATACAGAAACAAAATCTGTCCCACCTCCCACCATCGCCTTGCCCACACTGTGGATACCATGACTCGAATACATAAACAAAATCGCATGATTTCCTCCCAACCTCCACGAGAAAAAGTACAATATGCCACTCCATTCGGTGGGTTTAGATAAAATGCTATCCAATACATTGTAAAGGATAAAATACCACTCAATAGGTTACTTTTAGGATATTTTGCCACTTTGAGAGATTTTAAGACCAAAATACCCCTGGCCGTGGATAGAGAGGAAGAGGGAGGAGCGGAAGGTTGACCCGGACGACGCTAATGCTCGCCGGCGGCGGGTGGCGAGCGCACGGGGGTGGGCTGCGACAGGTGGACAGGGGGAGGAAGACGGCGGCGGAGAGGGAGGAAGACGACGACTGTGATGGGGGAGGAAGATGGCGGCGATGATGGGGGAGGAGGGCAACGCCGATGGGAGGGAGGAGGAGGCGACGACGATGACGCGGAGGGTTCTCCAGCGCTGCCCGCGCGTACGCTCACCCCCTCCGGTGCCACCCCCGCGCGCTTACCGGCGTCTTCTTCCTCTCCTCGTCGCCGCTAGCGGGAGCACAGATGGTGCTTGTTCTTCCCTCGTCGCTGCCTGTGGCCGTGGTCATTGGGAGGAAGACGGCGGCGGCGATCGGGGAGAAGGGCAACGCCGACGGGAGGGAGGAGGAGGCGACGACGATGACGTGGAGGGCTCTGCAGCGCTGCCCGCGCATGCGCTCACCCCCTCCGGTGCCACCCCTGTGCGCTTATCGGCGTCTTCTTTCTCTCCTCGTCGCTGCTAGCGGGAGCACGGACGGTGCTCGTTCTTCCCTCGTCGCTGCCCGCCGCCGACGACCACGGCCGCTGCCGTTCGACTCCTCTCTCCGGCTCTCTCTCCCTTCCTCTCTCTCTCTCCAAAGTAGGGGCATATTTGTCTTAAACCTCCTCAAAGTGGTAAAATATCCTAAAGATAACCTATTGAGTGGCATTTTATCCTTTGCAATATATTGGGTGGCATTTTGTCGAAACCCACCATATGGAGTGGCATGCTGTCCTTTTTCTCCAACCTCCACCACACAATTTTCTCCGCCTTCATCGCCGGAGTCTTTTACCCCTGTGCCATTAAGAAAGTTAGAGGTTACGTGTGTGCCACAAAAAAGTTTTGAGTCACCTGTATACTATGACACAAACTTTCGTTTACCTATGCGCCACTTTGGATGGAATCAGCACTAACGGAGACTAATGGAGGTTTAAAGGTTTATTTTGCCCTTGCTCTATTTCAGCCACTTTGAATGAAACATTGAACATTTGAAAGAGAAATCGGCTCACACACCGCATAAAGGCTGAAATGTAGGTTGAAGGAAAATGAAATAAAGTAAACATTCTAAAAAATTGAAAATAAAGTTAAAACAAGAAATAAATATGGAAAAATTAGTAAATAATTTTAAAATTATGGAAATAAATAGAAAACTGGGAATAAATAAGAAAAAAATTCGTAAATAAATTTTAAAAAATCATAAATAAATATGAACATATGAAAAAATAAGGAAAATTCGTAAAAAGATAAGGAAAAAAAATGCGTGCATAAGTAAGAAAATGCAAAAAAAAAAAGAAAAAGCAGAAATAATACTTGGTTATAGGATCAACATTCAAGCAACAGCTAGCATTACAGAATCACACCCAAACTGAACAAACTCTGAACTCTGCAACAATATGTAGCAGCAAGAAAGCAATAAATGCAACAAGCTGTTCGTCCTCACAGCTGCTTCAGTCCGTCGGCGAAGCATGAGCTGAACCGCGCCATGTCGGACTCCGGCAGCGCCACGCCGATCTAGATGCCGACCCTGCCGTCGCGCGCCTCCGCCATGGACACCGTGCCGGGCGTCTTGTCGATGGACAGGAGCTCCACCTTCATCGGCCGGCCCAGCCCGAAGTCGGTGTCGTACACGGCGTACCGCGCGAGCCGGCGATGGACATCGGCCGGTGCGGCATCAGCGACACGATCTTCTGGAACCACCCATCGGCACCGTCCAGAACGCCGTTGTCGAGCCCCCTGATGGCGGCGCCGATGCCCGCCGCCGCCGTCACCACGCCGCCGGCGCCGAGCAGGCCGGCCATGTCAAGCAAGGGCGGAGGCAGTTGCCGAGGTACTCCTGCGGCACCGAGCCGGCCTGGGGGAGCCGGCCTAGGCGCGCCGCCGGATCTGGCGAGGTGACGCGAGACGAGGCGAGGCAGCGGCGGCGGCGTGCCGGCGCCGGCGACGACCGGCGGCGGCTATAAAGGCGGCGGCTAGGCTAGGGTGAAATTGCTCGGGAGAGGAGCAGAGATGAAAATGCTTCAGGGGCAATTTAGTCATTTTCATACGTGGGTCCCACATGTCAGAGCTTATTATCTAACAAAAGATGGATGGAATGGCAGATAGGTAAACGAAAGTTTGTGTCATGGTATATAGGTGACTCAAAATTTTTTTTTGGCATATAGGTAACCTTCAACTTTCTTAATGGCATGGAGGTAAAATACTCTCGTCGCCGCCTCTTCCCCTTCCGCGCGGTGCCTCCATCCACCGCTGCCGCATCGGCTCCTGCCTCCTGTCGCCGCTTCCGCTGCTCCTGTCGTCACCGATGCCGCTCCCGTCTTCGCCGACGACGCCGGTGACTCCCTCCACCGCCCCGCCTCCGTGCCGCTCGCCACCACAATTGGACCTGCTGGTCCAGGGTTCCGTTGGCGCCACAGCCCCGTCGCCGACCGGTGGTCCAGCCTTCCGCCAGCGCCACTGCTCCGTCGTTCTCCGGTGGTCCAGCTTTCCGTCGCGCCTCCGGTCTTGCCGCCGTTACGAGGGGCATAGTCTGCCGTAGGTACTTCCAGCCGTGCGTCAAAATTTCTTCTGCTGGTGAGATCGAGTGAGACCCCATTGACTCAAATTGACTCTTCTGAATCCCCATTAGTCTTCTGTGTGGATTCTTATTCAGCTGAAGGGTATGCACATATATTAAATCTCTCCTCTTAATGGTGTGATTCGGTTCTTATCAATCCATATGTGCATCATTGCAGGCTATATCCTATCAAGGTGACTGGTGTTGCTCCATTCAGACTAACATTGTAGACTTGTAGTTGCCATGCTGCGTCTCTTCCAGATTACTTTATAGAGAAATTATATTGTACAGGTTTGAGAATTGTTCAAGTGATACTGCATTCCACCATTTGATTTCTTTAGCTAGGGATACTATAAAATTGTCGTAATACAAGCTTATACGGATATGCTGGGGATGGGTGAACAGGATGGAAGGCATTTTTTATAGGCCCTTGTCAGATGATGGCTTTTGGCTTTAAGATGCTCTATGAGAAGGGTCAAGGAGATTTTGTTCTGTTATTTATCATTGATTGGCATTTGGTTGATATATATGAATTAATATACTCCATAGGCACAACAAAAAGGTAATATTCATATATGCAGGATTATTTCTTTGCTTTAAGTTTTTACTAATTTTTACTATGGTTATTGGTCACTGGTCAGATAAGGTACATACATATATTTGCGTAGTATAAACATATTAAAGAAACTCAGCTTAGTGTATGCAAGGGGGCATGGAACAACTCTGATTCTGAATAGGAATAACTTCTTCCTTTTTCTGGGCTAGGAATTTGAGTGTTTACTTTTTCATTAACAAGCCTTATGTGCTCCTAGCTAGCAGCTGCCGGTGAATTGATAAAATTTTGGTGATTTTGTCCTAACGCTTCAAATTTTGTTTTGGGTAGATCCAAGGACAAATATATTCTCCAAACAGATGAACTTTTATTAAAGAAAAATAAGATATTTTATTTTGAGGCACAAGTATGTGCTATAGCCCCAACCTCTACCCAGGGGCACACGACCAAAACACATTCCATGATGCTCCAGAAGTCTAGCACTGCTACAACATGCATAATTTCATCTTTATATTGGCATTGATCCGGGATTATCCTAGCCATTGTCACATGCTGCTAAGAGGCGGTCCTTTTTTCCTTCTTTGTGAGAGGAGGCAACCTTCATATAAGCCTGGTGGCATCTCTGACCACATGCTTGGAGGATGGAATTAGGCAATGTGATGCACATGACTTCAATGAAGCGAGTTAATCGGGGTTGTAGATTTGGAGGATGGCATCAGGGAAGGTGATGCACATGACTTAAGTGGAGCAAGTTAATCACGATTGCAGGTTTGAAGGACGCCATTACTTACACATAATTCCCTGTCAGAATAATATTTGACATTCATATGCTTGTACACATATGAAATCCCAAAATTATCTACCTGAATGTTCTTGTTTGCCACATGCATACCACAACACTATTGACTATTTGTGAATTATCTGAAATTTGCATTTTACTTATGTATGCTGATGGTTCTCTCTGCTCAATCTCAATTCAAAGAGTTACATGTCATTTTCCTTATAATCTACTGTTAAGTTCCTATTGAATTTATATTCGCTGAACTCTACCCAACCATGTTTGCTGTTGCTCCAACCAAAATTAGGAGGCTTTATAGTCTTTGTGTGCCATACAACTTTATATGTGAATTTGAATTTAGTTTTACATGGTCTGAACTTGGGCTTGCATTGCTCAAGAACTTGGTTGACAACATTCTGAAATTGTCCTTGCATTATATGGCATCCTGTGTAGTGTAATTAATGTATTGTTTCTATTCTTCCCTGTGAACTATTGGTTATGTACTGAGTTAATAATTCCTGACAGCCTTTAGAAATGTGGAACACTTTCCTTTTTTTTGTTACAAATTTCCTAGGAGCAAAAAAATTTCCAATCACATCTCATGTTGTGTCCTCCAAAAAAACAAAAAAAAATGCTGTAATTTTCTGTCATGCTGATGACAAATTCTTTATATATACCTCAAACATGCTATTCATTTTCTATATTTGGAGTCTTTGTCCTTGCAATATGTGTGAACCATAGATGTCTAACATTTGCCAGATTAGTGATTGAACATTTCATATATTATTTTCTGAGCATTTGGCATATTAGTTTCTGACTTGTCCTTATGATGTAGGAGCATCTGAATTTAGAATCTGAACTTCGACAAGCATCTAAATATTGTTCAATGTTTTAATTTGCTGTGAGCTAATTAAAGTTATGAATTTCTCATAGCTCAAGTACCGGAAGTTTAGAAATTCTCCAGACAATGTAAGGTTTGTGTGGGTTTAGTGTCTGACCTTAGCCATTGCAATATGTGTAAACAATATACTCCTATTATCATTTAAGGTTGAACATGGAATGTACTCCCTCCGTTTCATAATGTAGGTCATTCTAGCATTTCCCATGTTTATATGGATGTTAGTGAATCTAGGCATATATGTATGTCTAGATTCACTAACATCCATATGAATATGGGAAACGCTAGAATGACCTACATTATTAAACAGAGGGAGTATCTTTTTTTTAGAACTACATGGAATGTATCTGAATTCAATGTGTGGACATACCATTGCCATTTTTTTTGAAGTCAATGTATAAATATGCCCTTGCAAGCACTGTTTCTTCCCATACTTTTACTTTTTTAAATATACATTGGAAAAACGTGCCTTGCACGGGCATTATTACTAGTAATAGGTAAAGATATACCAAGTGCGAACTGCCAATACTTTTTGCTACGAGAAAGGAGAGGGCATAGGTGTGTTGTGTTTTCGGTATATTGGTGGGATTGAATTAGCACCGCCGCTGGGAAAGAACCAGGGTATGATGGAGTAATGAATGCCTGACTCTAGCTAGTGACAAGGGTTTACATGAAAACATCTATAAACTTGAAAACTATTGCAAAAAATACTCAAAAGCTTTTAAAACGCACACATATAAGTGAGAATTTAGATAACCATATAAAATTGTAAGACCAAACTAAACTTCGTTTTGGAGTCATGAAATTAAGTAATTAACAAATGGCTAAAAACATTGATCTTCAGTTTTTATTTTTTCTTACCTATTTTGTTAATATTGTATCTAATAAATGAAGTCAATTTTAATTAATCTTGTAATTTTGTAGGTTTACTAATAACACTTTGCAGTGTTCAAAATACATAATCTATATATTAGCGATATAGAAATGTTCAGTTTTGAGCTTAGAACATATCCCCCTGATGAGAAATCTGCACAAAGAAGTGTAAGAAACGTCAGGAACACATGTTGTATCTGACATGAAAGAGCAACAAACAAAATAATAAGAAAATTATGTGATTAACTGCTATATATCCTCCTGGTTATGCATGCTTTTAGTTCTGTTGCAAAGAGTGACGTTGAACCCCCACCAAAGAACAATCTTTCCAATTTCCACAAATGACAGCAGCATTTGCACTTAGACAATCCAACCAAACCACTCAAACTCATTCTCAAGCAATGCAACTAAATAAATGAAAATTTAAAATACCATATTATTTTGCCATGGTTTATTAAATATAAATTAGAAAAATTCTAAATCGTTACGAGTCATTCATGTTAAAATACATTTTCAATCATGTGCTATAAATTAAATAACATGATATGGTTAGAGGTAATGGCTAGCACAGCATGTGTATATATCAGAAGCCCATGTATCAGATGCTAAAATGCCATGGCACATTTAACAATGTCCTCGATAAGCAAAATATGACTTATAGAGAAAACCGTAATTTTGGCTCAAACTGAAGATCAAGACAGAGAGAACAATAATTTTGCTCAATCTGAAGACCAATAACTGCACTGAAAGGAAATTCTACCATTATAAGTACGAGAATCAGTCCACCATTTGGGTAATTTTGTTTGGCAAAATTTGCTACAGGACACGTAAAAAACATGTAATTAGCTGGGATTAGCTGGGAGACACCGCGAAAACGTGATATGGCTGATGGACACTACAAAAATTGTGTAATTGGTTTTAGGACACTGGTCGTATTATTTTATTATTTCTGGGTCAAAAGAGATGAGATATTTTCCTAAATACCCGGATTGCCACTTCTCTTTCTTCGTTTTCTCCTTCGCCGGGAACGCGCGCGGTGAGGGTGAGGTCGGCGAGGTCGGCGCGAGCGGGGCGGTGGGGTGAGCTAATTACATATTTTTTGTGTGTCTTGTAGCAAATTTTGCCATTTTGTTTTACTAATTACATTATGAGGCAAGTACTAATTGCAAGCATATTCTCATTTTACCCACTATTATCTTGTAAAAAGTCGAAAACTGAAGGCATTCCTAGGCCCCTGACAAGTCTTGTAAATCAAATATGTTAAAGATAAAATAGCATGTTTATCTTCTTTCTGCTTTTGCCGATCTCCTATCCAATCTTCCCGATTCTGTTATACATCGGTTGAGAGATTCTGGTATGGATGTAGCTATATATGTACACATGTTCCGTGATTAATCGATATCGCGTTGAGCTATCCCTGCTTTCATGGTATCAGATACTCCCGATCCAATCGCTTCCGCTAAACCCTAAAACCTCATCGCCGACGGCTCTCTCTCCTGCCGGCGCCCATGTAGTCCGTCGACGACACGGCTCTTACCGCGGCGGTCGCCTCCATCACCGACGCCGCCACCTCTGCCATCCGGCAGGTCCTTCGGCCCGACGACTCGGCCTCACCTGACGACCGTGCCGCCGCCACGGCTCTCATCGACGCGACTTCGGCCGCGACTGCCAAGGCCGTCCAAGCGGTGATTTCTGCTCTCGTCATCACGCCTATCAACGACACGGTGGCCACAGCGTCAAGTTCTACCTTCCCGACAACGGTCACCGTTGACGCCGCGGCTCTTCGCGCCACCCTCGGACTTCCTCCAGCCAGCGCGACCACGCAACCGCCCATCGGCCTCGGCTCTTCTTCACCGGCCGACCACGCTAGCCTGTTCGCTGCACTCAGCCTTCAACCACCACAGCACGAACGAGAACGCTAATTAGCGTTCAGTCGCGCGCCCCCTCCCCCGCGCGACTGGACGCGTGTCGCGCGCGGGGAGGAGGGTGGAGGACGGCGCGTGGAAATTTTTTTTTTCTGGTGGACGGTTTCTTTTTTTCTTTTTTCTGTTTTTTTCTTTCCTTTTTTTGGTTTTTTCTGTTTTTTTCTTTTCGTATCTTTTTCAGTTATTTTCGTTTTATACGTATACAGACTTTGTATACGTCTATACAAACTTTGTATACGTCTATACAAACTTTGTATACTTCTATACAAAGTTTGTATACGGGTATATACAAACTTTGTATACGCGTATACAAAGTTTATATATGTGTATTTTTTATTTTTATACATACATGTAAATAAAAACCCAAAACTTTTGTATATGCATATACAACGTTTGTATACGCGTATACAAAGTTTATATATATGTGTGTATTTTTTTATTTTTATACATACATGTATATAAAAACCAAAAATACACGTATACAAAGTTTGTATACGTGTATATAAATTTTGTATACATCATATATAAACTTTGTATACGTGTATATATATATATATATATATATATATATATATATATATATAAACAATTATAATAGTACTAGTATTACAAGTAGTAGTAATAATGTACTAGTGGTAGTAGTATTAGTAGTAGTAGTAGTATTGTAGCAGTAGTTGTTGTACTAATGGACTAAGGCAGGCAGGACTGACCGCACGGGTGCAGGCCCGCGCGGTTGGTCGCCGATCAGCCACACCCTAGCACGAACAGCCCGCCGGCTCCATGTCCGGGGGCGCTCTGCCAACCTCTGACACTGTCGATGCCCTTCATGCCCAGGCGGTGTCTGTTCTCAATGTCAAGGTGCTTGTCCCCGTCGTCCTCGACCTTGGCGCCGCAAATTACCAAATATGCCCTCACCGACCACGTCCTCTCTGACGACGCTTTTCCTCATCATGCGTCCTGGGCTCGGACGGATTGTGTCGTGCTCTCGTGGCTCTATGGGACCATCGCCACCGACCTCCTGGAGACCATCATTCAGCCTGATGGTAACGCACGCCTCGTCTGTCTCTCCCTCGAGCAGATGTTCCTCGGCCACTAGGAACAGCGCGCCATCAACCTCACGGCTGAATTTCACACGTTCGTCCAAGGTGACCTCGGCGTGAACGACTACTGTTGACGTCTCAAGGCTATGGCTGACACTCGCGGTGAGCTCGGCGACCCCGTCACCGACCAGCAACTTGTCCTTGCAATGATCGGTGGTTTAAACCCTAAATATGAAATTCTCCAAACTATTATTCCTCTGCAGTGTCCCTTCCCGATGTTCGTCGAAGCCCGGATCGAGTAAGCTAATTCTCACCGAGATCAACAAGGGCCCCTCCAACCGCTCCACCAACTCCTCCACCGCCCTCATGAATTGCACGCCACGGGGTTCGGGAACCTAAATCAAGGCGGCGGCAACACACAAGGTGGCGGCGGCAACAACAAAAATCGCTGTCGACGCAACGGGAACGGGGGCGGCACCGCCGGCGGCAATGGCGGCGCCGCTCAGGGCACATGTGGCCAAAGCGTAGGGCAGGCTGCCCCTCAGCCTCGCGCTGGACAGGCCTGGCCCACTCCTCAGCACCCCTGGGTCGGCACGATTCAAATGTGGCTGGGCGGCCCGATGCTGCGTGCTCCAGGGATTTTGGGCCCTCGGCCCACTTCTCCTTTTGCGGGCGTGGCAATGTCCGGTGGGCAAGCTGCCCTCCCGCAGCCGGTCTCCCAGGCCGGCCCTTACCTTCCAGCCGGCCTCACTCAGCAGCAACAACAACTGCAGCCATCGGCCCAACCAACGTCCTGGTACGGAGCCTCCAGCCCAACACTTGCTTGGGACCAACAGACTTTGGCAAGTCTGTTTCAAACCGACACCCTCACGACGCCTGCCTCCAACGGCTGGTACATGGACACCGGTGCCACCTCACACATGACATCGGACACCGGTATCCTATCCTCTCACCCAACCTACCTACGCCACTCTGTCCCACATTATCGTCGGCAACAGTTCTCTTTTGCCCATCATTGCTACTAGCAGTCTGGCAATGCTTCATTTCTTCACGCTAATAGAATGTTTGTTCTCAATAACAGTCTTGTTTCACCTAACATTATCAAAAACCTAATCTCTGTTTGTCGGTTTGTCACTGACAACAATCTCTCCATTGAGTTTGACAAGTTTGGTTTCACTATGAAGGATCTACTTACCAGGACCGTGATCGCCAGGTGCAATAGCTTCGGTGACTTGTACTCCTTTCTGGCGAACTTCTTCACCTCCATTGCCAGTTCCTTCGCTGCCACTACCACCACACTCTGGCATCGCCGGCTTGGACACATTGGTCACGACGCCCTCACCCGTTTTGCTCACTCCTTGGTCATCTCTCCTCCCAAATGCGGCTCCTCCACCGTATGCCATGCGTGTCAGCTCGGTCGCCACATACGCCTATCTTTTGCTACTTCTTTGTCTAGGGCTAAGGCCAATTTTGAGTTAATTCATTGTGATTTGTGGACCTCTCCAGTTCTCAGTGTGTCTGGTTTTAAATACTACCTTGTCATTCTTGATGATTGCTCTCATTATGTTTGGACATTTCCTCTTCGTTTGAAATCCGACACATTCACCACTCTTTCGCATTTTTTTTGCCTATGTCAGGACACAGTTTGCTACACCCATTCGCAACATCCAATGCGACAATGGTCACGAGTTTGATAACTCCGCCGCTCGATCTTTCTTCCTCACCAACGGCGTCGCCATGCGCATTTCCTGCCCACACACCTCGCCCCAAAAGGGTAAAGCTGAGCGTACTCATCGTTCTCTTAATAACATTGTACGCTCGCTTCTATTTCAGGCTCACCTCCCCGGCTCATTATGGGTTGAGTCTCACCCAACCAAAACTTTAGCCCAACACACTCCCTACTTCGCCCTTCACGGTGTCCACCCCTCATACACACATCTTTGCGTCTTTGGTTGTCGTTACCCCAACCTATCCGCCACCGCACCCCACAAACTCTCGCCACATTCCACCAAGTGTGTGTTCTTGGATACCCTAGCGAACGTAAGAGATACCGGTGTTTCGATCCGATCACCAACATGGTTATTATCTCTCGGCATGTGGTGTTTGATGAGGATACATATCCCTTTGCCGAAATGACTGGTGACACTGCTTGTGCTACTGATCTTGCTTTCCTGGAGGATTTTACTTCTCCTATACAGGCTCCAATTGGCTCCAATCGCTCGGGGAAGGCTGCCTCCACTTCTCTTGGGCCCACCGGCGCATGCATCGATCGGCCGACCCCTCCCTGCTTGCCGGGCTGGGCTGGGCGCCTCTCTCCTGGGCCGGCACCTGCGGCCTCATCTCCGACGGCCCATGGGGTCTCTACTTTAGGGCCAGCTTCTCCGGCTCGGTCTGCCCACGATGATGCCATCTTGGCCCATGACGGCGCTCCTCATGTCCACGACGGCGCTTCCTCCCTGGCTCATGACGGCGCACCTTCCCCAGCTCATGACGGCGCGTCCAGTACGCGCTTGCTGCGTGCCCCGCTTCTCTAGCCGTCGCCACTCGCGGTACCGACGTGCGCCAGAAGCGCCCGCGCCCTAGTTACATGGCCACCGGTTACAGGCTTCGGCATCTCTCCCATCGACAACAACCACGCCATGGTGACAAGGGGCAAGGCTGGCGTCCGGGTTGCCACTTCACGCCTGAACCTCCATGCCGCCACTCTCTCCCTGATACCTCGCACCTACCATGCTGCGCTCGCCGACACCAACTGGCGTGATGCCATGCAAGAGGAGTACTCGGCACCGATGTCAAATTGCACTTGGGACCTTGTGCCTCTTCCACCGGGCACAAACATCGCCACCGGCAAGTGGATCTTTCGTCACAAGTTCCTCGCCGATGGGAGTTTGGACCGCTACAAGGCGCGGTGGGTCCTCTGCTGCTTCTCTCAGTGCCCCGGCATCGTCTTCGACGAGACCTTTAGCCCCATCATCAAGCCAGCTACAGTCTGCACAGTGCTTAGCTTGGCAGTCTCTCGTAACTGGCCTATCCATCAGCTCGATGTGAAGAATGCTTTTCTCCATGGCACCCTCGCAGAGACAGTGTTATGCATGCAGCCATCTGGGTTTGTTGATCCTGCTCAGCCCAACTCTGTTTGTCGCCTGAACAAGTCTTTGTATGGGCTTAAGCAAGCTCCTTGCGCCTGGTACAGTCGGTTCGCCACTTTTCTCCGCTCCGTTGGGTTTGTTGAAGCCAAGGCATATACTTCTCTATTTATTTGTCGACGTGGAGGTGATGTGGCCTACCTCTTATTATATGTTGATGACATTGTTCTCACTGCTTCGTCGACATCGCTGCTTCACTGGACAATCTCTTCTCTTCAGTCTGAGTTCAGTATGAAGGACCTTGGTGAGCTCCATCACTTTCTCGGTGTTTCAGTCTCTCGCCATTCCTTCGGCTTGTTTCTCACTCAACGGCAGTATGGCTTGGAGATATTGGAGCGTGTAGGTATGTTCGACTGCAAACCGTGTAGCAACTCGGCCTGGTATTCAGTATGCTGTTCAGCAGATTTGCCTCCACATGCATGATCCTCGAGAGTCTCATCTCATAGCTCTCAAGCGGATTCTTCGCTATGTTCGAGGCACCCTGGATCTTGGTCTCCACATTCGTCACTCAGCCTCACATGATTTGGTTGTCTACTCTGACACCGACTGGGCCAGTTGTCCTGACACTCGCAAGTTCACCTCGGGATATGCTGTGTTTTTGGGAGATAATCTTGTTTCTTGGTCCTCCAAGCACCAGACTATGGTTTCCTGTTCGAGTGCAGAGGCTGAGTATAGAGTTGTTGCCAACGCTGTTGCCGAGACATGTTGGTTGCGCCAGCTTCTCCATGAGCTTCATGCTCCTCCAGTCAAGGCTACTCTGGTCTACTGTGACAATGTCAGCATAGTTTATCTCTTGACTAACCCGGTGCAACGCCAGCGCACGAAACATGTTGAGATTGATCTACACTTTGTTCGTGAGAAGGTCGCCATTGGTTCCGTTCGCGCTCTTAATGTGCTCACACATTATGCTGACATCTTCACCAAGGGTCTTCCAACTCCAGTCTTCACAGAGTTTCGGTCCAGCCTAAACGTTTGTTCGAACGACGTTCAGTCTGCGGGGGCGTGTTAGAGATAAAATAGCATGTTTATCTTCTTTCGGTAACCGCGCGGTTACCGGCCTTACCGCGGGGTACGGTAATAGAAAAACTGCAGTAATCTTTTTAAATTCAAATAAATTTAAAAAATAATTTAAATTTTGATAAATTTTACACGGTTTTTCACGGCGCGGTAACCCTGGCCCTGACGGTTTGGGAAACCCTTTTTGGCATGCATACTGGATGCTCGAAATCGGTGGAAGGCTGCACAAAATTTGTACTGCCCAAATTAGCAGCGAGCAGAGCCAATGAAAATCTGTAAATCCCCCACAGTAATAAAGGAAATGGAAATCCCCAAATCAGCTGCAGCGAGAGGCTCTGGCGCCGTCCTCGTCATCTCCACACTACTCGAGTAGTCCATCTGCACATGAACAGCTTGGTGGATAGGCAGATCGGACGGTCGAACACAGGTGATGAATGAACAGTGTAACAGTTTTACTAATTTGTTGACAATTAGTAAAAATGTATTCGATTTTCAACTTTTTTGGGTTCAAATTTCCTGAAAACTTGGAATTTCAGTCTACCGATTCTTTTTGGACTCTGACATCTTCATCCTTCCTCAGAAGTTAGCAACAGGCATGGGATTGCAACAGTAATTAGTATAGCTTCCTTCACTGTTCTTCGATAAAAAAAAAGAAAAAAGGAAAAAGGAGTCGAGGACGAGCAGAGAGCACAGCATCAGTTTTATTTCATGACTACACAACGACCGGTCTCTGGTTTGCCTAAAGCAGCGATCACTCCATCCTAGATTTAAATCTTATTTTAGCTTAAAAAGTACTATAGTGCATGTTTTTTTACCTCTTTAATCACTTGTATCTTTTAAATCATATATTATTTTTAAGATCTATTTGTATCATTGTACTCCACTTAAAATATGTGATAAAACGAGATCCAGATTGAATATATTAAAATATTTTATTAATTTAAAAGTAATTTATTTAAATTGTAAAAGTAACTTAGCTATGTAATAGAAGTAACTCTATATAGAAGTAATTACATTATGAGTGAGTTCCAATAAGAAACTATGTGGAGTAAATTCAAAAGTGTAGAGAAGATTTTCATGTAAATACATTTATGAAAGTAAATTTAATAAAGCCTGAAAGTAATTTACAAAAATCATAAAAGTAACTTAGTATAAAATGAAAGTAAGTTGTTATGATATTAGAAGTAAATTCGTCGTAGGAATAAAAATATAAGTCTATTTAGAAATTAAATTTAATCAACACAAATTATGAAACTGAGTAAAAACAATAATAATAAAAGTAATCAACTCAAAGCATTATGAAATTATGAGAAGTAATTTAATCAAATCTAAAAGTAATTTGTATATAAGATAAAAGTAACTTACATATATTATAAAAGTAATTTATAACATAAATGTTTTTTTTATCATAATATTATCATGTAAGATCTTGTTATAAAGATTTAATTGCAACGAACACAATGGTGTAATCGGATTATAGATCGGATAAGTAATTTAAGTGAAAATTTTATAAGAAGAAAAAATATGCACAACCTAATAGAAAAACTGCTTACATGCATGTCTGTAATGCTACTAATACTTCTCACGTAATTGTCCACGTCGCTCGTTAAGTCTAAATCGAGATGCCTCTCGAAATAGATTTTGCGTTTATTAAGATACTCCCTCTGTTTCACAATGTATGTCATTCTACATCAATATGAATGTGGGAAATACTAGAATGATTTACATTGTGAAACGGATGAAGTAGTAGCGAGAGATGCATCAAGCATCAATCATGGAAGGTTGAGTAGCTACGATCAGGTGTTTGTAGGAAATACTAATATCGTCTCAATTGGCTAGCCACAGAACATAGCCCTGCGGCATGTAGTGGCAGATGGCGTCGCCACGGCTTGCCTTGAGGAGCTCGAAGTAGGCACTGTCCCAGGTGGTGGTGTTGACGTGGCACACGTCGACGGCAGTGGCGCCGCCCAGGCCCACGCCGGCGACGGCGTGGAGGTCGACCCTCAGCGCCACCGCGTCGGCTGGCCGGTGGCAGTAGTACACCTCGTATGGATATGGCATAGGGTGGCACGCCACCACGGCGTCGCCGCCGATCCGGGCGACGCCGTCGGCCGCTACCACGTACCTGCGGGGCTCCCTCCCGTGCACGAGCGTGGTGACCGCGCGCGGCGCGCTGGTGCCCAGCGCCGAGGCGGCGAAGTCGAGCACCGCCTCGCGGGAGGTGGCGTGGCTCCTCGCCGCCGGCGGCCGTCAGTTCGCCGCAGGTGCGGAGGGTGTCGGCGACCTGCGCCGCCTTGTCGGATCCAGGGAGGATGCCGAACATGGCGAGGATGGCGTCCATGGCGCGGAGGTTGGACGGCACGGCGTCGGCCTTGTCCTTGTAGATGATGAACCTTGGCGCCGCTGCAGCCACGCCGTGGTCGTCGTGCGCCAGCGTCAGCTTCGTGCCTTCCGGCAAGACACAGCATCCCGGCCGCCTTTGTGTTTTTGGCATTCTCTAACTTGAGGATGCCAGCCAAGGCTAATTTCAGCTGGCTGCATATATATGCAAGGGGCGGTCAAGTTACAGAATGCCAAAAAACACAAAAACGACAATGCAACTCAGCCATTGATTTGTGTGATCCTTCAATTTGCAGTGATGATCCAAAACTAATTCTAATCTGCTTAGTAACTAATTAATACTAGTCTGTATGACTGTATATGCTGCCCTTTTATAGCATAGGAGCCATGAAAAGCATGTGTCATCTCGGCAAAGAGAGGTGCAAAGTTTGTGAGTTTCCTACTCTCTCTGCATATGCATATGCACTAATCCCTTTGTTTTTGCCCTGATAACCTATACATCTCATTATTGTTCCTTTTTTTTTCAGGGGAAAGGGATAATTACTCATTAGCCTCCTCACAGATAAACTGCGAGATAAAAGTACACTTATTGTCCGGCCAAAACTGTGTGATCTTGTCACAACGGCCCTTATTTGCTAAATAGTGACTAATATTATTTTGACTTCTAAGACACTTACTGAAGCTAATATCCCTATTTCCCACCAAGAGAGAATCTATCTCCCTGATTAAAAACGCCAGCTCCGATTTAGCACCTGTTGCATCGCGGAAAAGATGGATCATCGCCAAGCAGTCTGTCTCAATCACTATTGGCAGCAGGGTCCATTGTAGGGCGAGGGCAAGACTATCCCTGCAGGCAAGGAGTTCCGTTTCCAAAGCACTGCTACAGCGATCAACATGTCCACAAGCAGCAAAAATAACCTCTCCTGTGCAGTTGCGCAACACAGCGCCTATACCACCCTTGCCGTCACTCTCCTGGAATGAGCCATCAACATTCAGCTTCATGCTTCCTAGGAGCGGCTTCGACCATTTGTCAGGAACAGGTTCTTGACTCCGTTTGATGTTGTGCGACTTCTTTAGAACCACATCCACAACATGTTTCCCCTTCTCAGGACTTGCTTGGGGGTGTTGCTTGATCTCAGCAAGGGAGAGGACATAGCTTTCAATGAAACGTTTGGACACTAGTATTCCTGGGGCTGGTTTGCCATGCACTATTTCATTCCGTGTGTGCCAGATTCGCCACAGTACCATTAAAAGCATAACCTGTTCCTCCGGCTGCGACTGCTCCAATAGGTCCAAGATCACTTTCGGATCTCCATTGCGAATGTTGCTGAGAGGGTTAAGCTTCATATCAACAGTCATCGCTTCCCAGAATTGCCGGGCATGTGGGCAGCGAAACAAAGCGTGAACAACATATTCTGACTCCACCCCACAAATGGTGCAGATGTCTGAAACTTCAAGCTTCCTCTTCTTCTTATTTTCCAATGTTGGAAGGCTGTTAGTAATAGCTCGCCAGGCAAAAATCTTCACCTTTTGGGGCGCATTGCATTTCCAAAGGGCATTCCAGGCTCTGCTATTTCCATTCCCGGACGAACTCGAGCCTTCATCAACCTGTGCCAGAGCTATTGCCAGATGATAAGCACTTCTGACAGAAAATCTCCCCAGTCTATCCGGATGCCAAGCAATGAAGTCATCCTCCAGCCTTGAAGATAAACGAATGTTTAGGATGGCCTCTGCGTCCATGGGCAGGAAATGCTGCGAGATTTTGTCAGTATCCCAGGACTCGGACTGATCAATCAGGTCTGAAACCCATCTCAGTCTGCAATTTCTTTTAGCTGAGATGGGTCTTCTTGAAAAGCTCCGCGGAATCCAGGGATCCCTCCACAATCTGACTGATTTACCGTTGCCAATGCGCCATATGATGCCCTTCTTCAGTAATTCTAAACCATATTCGATCGCTCTCCAGCCTGGAGAGGCATTACCTCCAAAACTTGTATCAATGAGAGAACCGTTCGGGTAGTATTTGGCCTTCAAAATTCTAGCACAGAGACTGTCTGGTCTGTCCAACAATCTCCAGGCTTGTCTAGCTAGAAGTGCCTGATTAAACAGCCTGAAATCCCTAAACCCCATACCTCCCTTCAACTTCCGAGCAATCAAACAGTCCCAGGATTTCCAGTGCGTTCTCCTCTTCCCTTTCTCTGCTCCCCACCAGAAATTACGAACCAGTTTTGTCAATTCCTCGTAGACCGACTCCGGGAGCTTGAAGAGTCCCATAACATAAACAGGCATGGCCTGTAGGACCGCTTTAATCAAAATCTCCTTCCCCCCAGTTGACAGAAGTTTCTCCCCCCACAGCATAATTCTCTTCCATAATCTCTCCTGGAGGCTTTGGAATTTTCCTTTGGTCATTCTACCCTCAGGCATCGGAAAGCCCAAATATTTATCTTCAAAGGAGTTACTTATCTGCAGGGTCTGCTTTATCTGATTTTGGACAGCAGTAGGAGAGCTTTGCCCGAACATGATGGAGCATTTGCAAGGATTTATCAATTGCCCAGTGCAGGAAGCATAAGTTTCGAGAACTTCTTTCATCACTACCGCCTGATCATTTGCCGCTTTAAAGAACAACAGCGTGTCATCCGCAAACAGTAAATGCGACACAGCAGGAGCACGCCGGCATATCTGAATTGGGTTCATAGCTCCCTGATCCACTTTCTCTTCTAGTAACAAGGACAGTCCATCAGCCACAAAAAGGAATAGGAAGGGCGAAAGAGGATCACCCTGACGCAGACCTCGTGATGGAGCAAAGGTGTTCAACAGGGTTCCATTAAGTTTAACTGCATATCTCACCGAGGTTATACATGCCATAATCCATTTAACCCAACAGTGAGCGAAACCCAGTTTAACCATTGCTTACTCCAAAAATTTCCAGTCTACACGGTCATACGCTTTGGACAAGTCCAACTTGTATGCGCAGTAAGCATTCTCAGGATTTTTATTCCTCTGTATATGGTGGAAGCATTCGAATGCTATCAGGGCATTATCTGTTATCAATCTACCAGGGACAAAGGCACTCTGGTTCTGTGACACCAGATCATCCAGGATTGGTCTTAGTCTGTTCACCAAACACTTAGACACTATTTTATAGACCACATTGCACAAACTGATAGGTCTGAAATCCTTTAGTTCCTATGGTTGCTCAGTTTTCAGTATCAGAACAATGGCAGTCTCATTGACCCCCGAAGGCATGGTACCCGAAGAGAAAAATTCTTGTACAGCTCGCACAATGTCGTCCTTTAGTATAGCCCAATTCCTCTGATAGAACCGACCGGGGAATCCATCTGGCCCGGGAGCTTTTAACGGACCAATTTGGAACAGGGCATTTGCAATTTCCTCTTCACTAAAGGTTTTGCATAGTTTCTCATTCATCGCATCTGTGACTTTCGGCTTCATCAGGCTAGTGACTCACGAATGATCAATACTGGGGTCGGCAGTGAACAGCCTTTGGAAATACTCAGTTGCCATACGTTCCAACTCTTTTGTCGTACTGTGAACAGTACCGTCACTATCCCGTAGCTTTGTAATCTTATTCTTCTTAGCTCTCCACACTGCTTTGCTGTGAAAGAAACGTGTATTTCTATCACCTTCTTTCAGCCAAGCAATTCGAGATCGTTGCAGCCATATCATCTCCTCACGGTACAGAAGTTCATTCATTTGATCGGACACCCGTCTTATTTCCCTATTGTCGGCATTACTTAGAAGAAGTTCAGATAGTTTCTTTCTATTTTTCTCAATCTCCCGGCTGACATTCCTGAACTTTTTCTTACTCCATGTGCGAAGATCAGACATCATCCTAAACAGAGCTTGATTAATGTCGCGCAGATCCTGCTTAACTCCGGAAACGCCCCAAGATTCTGCTATAACTTCAGAGATTGCAGGGTCTCTTTCCCAGTAAATTTCATAATGGACACACTTCACAGGATTCCTGTGAAGGTCTTCAGAAGAAAATTTGACAAGGATGGGGCAATGGTCTGATCTAGGAGAGGACAGATGAAACACCTGTGCTGTAGAGAACAGTCCCCTCCACCCATCATCTGCAAGGGCGTAGTCTAGGCGCACTTTAACATTGCTGCGGCCTTCTCTCCTATTATCATAAGTGTATGGCACCCCCGAGAACCCCAGATCATGGAGATCACATCTCTGGACCACATCCCTAAAGGCTTGCATTTGCAGCTCACTTCGTTGTTTCAGAGAGAAGTGCTCAAACTGCCAAAGAGTCTCATTAAAATCACCCACCACTAACCACGGGGGATCCGAAACTTGCTTAACTGAATTTAACAACGCCCACATACGATGTCTATTTTCCACTCTAGGTTCCCCGTACACAAAAGTAGCATGCCAGACAGGAGCATTCACAGATAAACGAACATACGCGTCAATATATCTCTCATTCATACTTATAATTTCCACATGAACAGACTCATGCCAGAATAAAGCCAGACCCCCACTCATCCCATCACTGTTAACCCCAGCAAAACCCTTCAAACCCAATCTATTCCGCAGCCTACGAACCTTCTCAATCTTTTGCCTAGTCTCACTTAAAAACACAATATGGGAACCTGCCTCCTTCACTAAGGCACAAAGGTCACGAACTGTCGCCGCGTTCCCTATACCGCGACAGTTCCAAGCCAAGCAACTCATTGCTCCTGACGGGACCCAATCACAGGTCCCGTCAGTTTACCAGCGGCCCCATGGCTGGTTGCCTCCATATCGTCTGTGTCCTCACCCTCTGCAGCCTTCTTGAGTCTCTTCACTGCTCTAGCTGCCTTGCCGATATCCCCATGCATGGAATTGCTGCCACCTGTGTATTGTTGGTATTCCAACAATGCTTGCTGAACCCTCCCTTTTATCTGGAGTCCTGACTGGTCTGGCATCCTCTTCCTATTGGCATCGCTGATCTCCTCGGATGACACTTCCCCAAACGAGGCTTGCTGTTGAAGGTTCCTCATGGCTGGTATCATCTCAGAAGCAGAAATTTCATCACCATCAGTCTTCTTGGGTGCTTCCTTCTCCTATTGTTGCTGGGCTAGCTTCCCAGCAGGGACAACCATCGATGTTTCCTGAGTTTTGTCCCCCGTAACATCCATCTTCCCAGCCTGTTGAGCTAACATCTCATCAATTGCAGTGTCCCCTTCCCTTTCCTTAAACTCAAACCCATCATGGGCATCAACTCTGGGCGGTATTGCTTCCTGCATCTGACCATCTTGTTTGTGTCTGGAGGACGATGAACTAGCACTTCCTGCCCCTCTGAAGAACAAGTTACG